CTTTTCAAATAGAGCAGGTCTAGGTCTCCTTATAACAAAAGATATCCCATATAACCTTGGATCTGGTAAACCTAATCCCCCTTTCTCCATGGGGGCGCAGAGTTTACTTAGTTTTATCCTTGCTCTTTTCCCATCCCATAAAAACTGTTTAACTATATCATCATACTTTTTAAAAATGGTAGGCGGTATCATGATTGGCAGCGGTATCATGATTGGCAGCAGTATTACTGAGTAATTAAACTGAGGAGCTACTATCATTTTAATAATATTGACTTTTCCCCAAGGGTAAGTTTTATCTTTTGCCACTTTTCCAAATTTGTTTTAATTTTTTGCAACACCTGGTTAAAGTTTAACGAGGGCATCTCTCCTAGGTCTTGACTGAGTTTAATTCCAAGATACTTCATGCCTTGAGGTACCCACTTAAAGTTTTTCCACCATGTAATGGTGGCATGTGGAAGTCATAAGCATAGCCTCGACAGTGTAACCTGACAGTTTAGAGTAGGACTGAATAGTATCCATCAAATGTGGTAAATATGCCTCAGGGTCTGTCACTACAGCTAAAATATCTTCAGCATATAGCATATAGCAGGCTAATAGGTCTAAAATTAGATGGGTCTGTTATTTCTGTCTTTTTTTGGAATCAGAGATATTTAAGCTTCATTAAATGTTGGCGGCATGTGGCCTTTTTCAAATGCCTCCTGATACACTTCCACCAAGACTGGGGCAAGAATGTCTATGTACTCTTTCTAATATTCCACAGGAAATCCGTCATAACCTGGTGATTTCCCAGTGTTCATTAATGACACAGCTTTCCTTATTTCTGCTACAGTTATAGATGACTCTAACTTCCTTGCGTGATCAGGGTTAAGCTTAGGCATAGTAATGTTAGAGAAGAATGAATTTATTTGGTTGTCATCGCAAGAAATTGTTGTTGTATATAGTTTCTTGTAATATTGTTGAAATGTCTCATTTATATCTTTTGTTGAGGTTTACTAATTTATCTCCCTGTTTGATGGCTGAGATTATATTTGAGGAGTCTTTTTCTTTCACTTGTCTAGCTAATAACCCATTTTCCCTTTTTTTTTTTCCCACCTTCATAAAAAAAATGTTTTTAATCTGTATAAGGAATATTCTACTTTTTTGTTAAAGATTTCATGCAGCTGAAACTTAAGCTTACAGAGTTCCTGATATTGTGGTTCTGAAAAAATGTTCCACTAAATTATTTTCATTTAATTTAATTTAATTTCATTTAATTTAATTTCACCTTCTAATTCTTTGAATCTGTTTAGGCTCGCTTTTTTCTTTTGAGCCAAGCGAGCTATTAGTTTCCCTCCAAACTGTTGCAATTTCCTTAGTGCTGCCAATGTTTAATTCAAAGAAAGATTTAAAATCCTCTCACAACAATGTCCTAAAGCCTTTGTCCTGTAATAATGATGTATTCATTCTCCATCTAGTCCTCTTACCCATGTCCAATTCTGTGTTTATACATAATTCCACCGCTGCATGATCTGTGAAAGCAATAGTTCTTATACTTCAACTAACTACACTGTTTACTAAGGGGCTTGCAATTAAGAAAAAGTCAATTCTGGAGTGTGACTTATGACAATGGGGGAAAAAACGTGTACTCCCTCTCCCGAGGGTTAGTAAGCCTCCAGACATCCACAAGCACCATGTCATCTTTTAACATATGAATTGCCTCCCTATCTTTAGTCATCAGTGGACCTTTAAACTGACTTTTGTCTAAAATAGGGTCCATCACTTGGTTAAAGTCTCCTGCCAGTATTATTTGCCCGTCCATCTCCCCTAGAACCCTATTCACTTCATGAAAGAATTGTGGGTCTCCCTTATTAGGTGCATAAATATTACATAATATCACCTGCATACCCTCTATTAATGCCTGCACACATATCATTCTTCCCTCTGTATCTTTAACCTCTTTAAGCAACACAAAATGTGTCCTCCTGTTAACCAGAATCATAACTCCGTTTCATGAACTTGAGAGTGTGCTGTGAAAAACATGCTTCACCCAGCCTGTTTTGAATTTAGCTGCCTCACCCTCATTAAGGTAGGTTTCCTGTATGCCTTATTAGTTTTTAAATATGACAATACCTTGCGTCTTTTGACTGAATTTCCACTTCCATTAATATTCCATGACACGTACTTAATACATTTCTTAATCTTTGTTCAAATTACCCTCCATATCCATGTCTCCTTCATTGTTCCTGTTTGAAGCACTCTTATGTCTTTGCCTTCTGTGTTATCATTCTTTAAAACCCTGTACTCTGACGAAATATGAACACTAACATTTAACCTGGAAAAAGAACGTTTCCAGTACAGAATACAAATCTAAAATAAATAGACAGTGTATGAGAGGCGAAACAAGAAATTAAGCCATTTCAATATGTAATAGTTTGTAGTTCCTAGCTTTTGACTTCAATCTAATACGCTGCCACGAACGGCTTC